GTGTAGCTGTGTAGCTGTGTAGCTGTGTAGCTGTGTAGCTGTGTAGCTGTGTAGCTGTGTAGCTGTGTAGCTGTGTAGCTGTGTAGCTGTGTAGCTGTGTAGCTGTGTAGCTGTGTAGCTGTGTAGCTGTGTAGCTGCGTAGCTGTGTGTGTGTGTGTAGGTGTGTAAGTTTGTAAGTTTGTAAGTTTGTAGCTGTGTAGGTGTGTAGGTGTCTAAGTGTGTAGGCGTGTAGGTGTGCAGGTGCGTAGGTGTGTAGGTGTGTAGGGGTGTAGGTGTGAAGGTGTGTAGGTGTGTGCGTGTGTACGTGTGTAGGTGTGTAGGTGTGTAGGTGTGCAGGTGCGTAGGTGTGTAGGTGCGTAGGTGTGTAGGTGTGTAGGGGTGTAGGTGTGAAGGTGTGTAGGCGTGTGCGTGTGTACGTGTGTAGGTGTGTAGGTGTGTAGGTGTGTAGGTGTGAAGGTGTGAAGGTGTGTAGGTGTGTAGGTGTGTAGGTGTGTAGGTGTAGGTGTATGTGTGTGTGTGTGTGTGTCGCAGGAGCAAGGAAGTAATCAGGAAGAGGAAATGGGAACGATGGCAATGACACTTGGATTGACCTCAGGACAGTTCCCATCAAAGCCCACGGTGGAATCGCCTTGGAACCCATCGGTCAAAATATGGTTTCCTCTAAAGGACATGGTACCGAGTGCTGGGCTTTTAGAATGGATGTGACCGAACTTGCCCCTCCCCCATCCCTGAACGGCCGCAAATTGAGGCTCTGGCTGGGCATATGCTTGTAGATGCGATTTCCTTGATAGGCAAATAACACGACCCACTTGGACAGAGTGAAGCAGTGAAGCAGTCAATGGAACCTAGACATGGAAATGCCCGGTGTCTTGCTCTCAGAAGCTGGAACTTCAAAGGGACGCAGGTAGGTCCAACTTTGCAAATCGCCTCAATGAGGCTATGTGTTCAAATCTGCGGACCCAAACAACATCAGGATCCTGGGTAATTTCCCTGAACAAAAACCACTTGGGGGCTCTCAAAAAGAAACGCCCCATCCGGCCGTCAACAGGGCGCTCAAGCCAGGCTTCGGTGCGCGGAGCGTTCCGCCGCACTCATGGAGACCCGGGGGAAGTTCAAGCGGTTCACCCCCGGCCCGTTGAGGTGGGAGAGAAGCTTCTCCAGCTCCTGGCTTTTCTGGGCACGAATCAAATTGTCGGTTCCATTCGGGTAGTCAAAATGAACTGGGCTGCTCCCAGATCCCCTGCTAAAAGTCTGGTTTAGTGGAAAATGCCTCTAAATCCTGACGGGATGGCTGGGAACCACCAAGTAAAAGAGGGCTCCCAAAGAAAAAGAGGAGAAAAAAAAGACAAGCCGCGCTGATTTACATTGATTCCCCCCCCCAAAAAAAAAAACTGGGGCGTCCTTGGCCACCGACTTGCCCCCGGGCAGCGTGTCGCCCACGTGGCGGCAGCTCACGGCGTCGTGGTGGAGGAGGATCTGCTCCTCGGCATCCTCCGTGGGGATGGAGCCCAGCCCAGGTGGCGGCGCCATGCCCGGGACATGCGCCTGCTCCTGGCAGCACAGCGAGCGGACGCGGGCGAAGAATCAGAAAACGCCACGCAACTTGCTTGGCCAGCAGTCAACATCCCGGAAACCAGGGAACATCAACCAATCCAACCACTAAAATATTCCAAAATGGGTGGTGAATTCACCGACCAGCCAAAATGGGATCCCAAAACGGCTTTGACCACCACGGCCATGTGCGATCTTTTTGTGGGGGACCGGGCGAAGGGAGATCCGATGCTTCATGGCCCCTCCTCCAACTGGCCTTCTGCAGCCTTCTCCTCCTGCTCCATCATCGCTAGGAGGCTCCCCTCGGCCTCAGCTGGCTCAGTCTCCTCCGGCTGCGGTGCATCTGGACCCATCAACAGGATATCCCCTGCCGCGTGGAGGAAATCCTCCATCAGTGACAGCTCCTTCAAGGATAATCTTCCTACCCATTGTAGTTTGGCAAATTGACTCGCGGTCCCTAAAGAACTCAAACACCATTGCCAAAAAAATACCACCATCTAGAACAGTTGCTAGGGGGCAGACTATGTGCAAACACCTACTCTCAGCTTGGTCACTCCTTCTGGGCGTTTTCCTGCATCTGCTCAGAAAGCTTGTTCCTTTGTGGAGCTTCTGGGCCATCTCCCTTCAGAGAGTGGTTCACCTGCTCGCAGAGGCAATAGAGCATAAAAGGAACATCGTGATGCGAAGGGTCCACAGAGCCGGCGAGGCGCTCGTATAAGGTCGTGCCGACTTGCGAGGCGTCTGGGGAGTTGGGAATTGCAACGCGGCGCTTGGGGAAGAGCTGCAGCCACTCTTTGTACGCCATGCGCCGCTGGGCCGCTGATGTGATCGCCGCCAAGATCGCCGCCAAGATCGCCGGATTGGGCGCCTCCTCCCCCGGGTCGCTCGATGCCCAGGTGTGGCAGTCGTAGAGCTCCGTGACAATGGCGGAAGCAAAACGGCTCGCCTCGTCTGCGCCGACCACCCGTTCTCTCAATGCGCACAAGACTTCTGGGGCGCCCAGGAGTGAGGCTTTCCTTCTGGTCACGCCCACCTCATCCGTCTCATCCGCCAAACTCTCCCCGGAGAGGTGCAGCGACACCCAGGCATCTGCCAGCTCAAAAACCCCCTCAGAAGCCAGATCCTCAAGCTCTGCCGCCGTGCTCGGGTACCCGCACACCACCACCATCAGATCTACACTCTCCAGGCCTGACGCCAAAAAGGGCTACTTCTTGGTTCTTGAAAAAGTGAGCGCCCGAAACCCGCTGACTTCTGGCTCTACCAGCATCATAATTGTATAAACTCAGTAGAGTTATTTAGATTTGCGGGCAGGTGGCGCCTTCAGACGTTGATTTTCGAACACATGGGTGTGGGTCAAAAATAGGTACCCAAAATGGAACCAGGGTAAATGGAATTTTCCTCTTGGTTTAATTTTGACCCATACCCACACAGCCCGCCTGCGCCAGCTGCGCTCGCTGCGCTCGCGCTGGCGGTGCCCTCCAAGGCCGCGCGCCGGGCCGCGTTCACCTTCCTCCGGCGCCGGCACGCCGCCTCCGCCTCCGCCTTGCGCCGCAAACCCGAGGCCAAGGACCCGCCCTCGGCGAAGCTCTCCAAGTCCTCCCGCGCCAGGAGGAGGTGGGCCTGGCCGAGAGGCGGGTTCCCATGTGGCCATACGGGTCTGTTGCCTTGTTTTGCATTTCAAAAGGGAAACCAAAGCAAAAAAAACTTATGGCCATGGGTCAAAATCCAAAAAGCCAAGTACCCCCAGTGAACATCCCAATCCAACCACTAAAATATTCTAAAATGGGTGGTGAATTCACCTACCAACCAAAATGGGATCCCAAAACGGTTTTGACGGTCTGCTGCTTGGTTTTTCTATTTCAAAAGGGAAGCCAAAAAACAACCTCCATGTTTTTTTTGGGGGGGTCGCCTAACAAAACGGCAGACCCATACCTTCTGCGCGGACTCCGGAAAGGAAGTGCATTGTGTTTAACCGAAAGACCTCAGGAGCTATGTGAGTCACAAATAAGAAATGGCCACTTTGACCCCCGTGGATGTGGCCAAAATCGGGGAGTGCCGCTCCCAAATTTACCATACTCTGATGCCAATACGGTCAGTCGCTCATGCGCTTGGCACTTTGCAGGATAATCTTGCTTTTCACCGATCTGTATGTTCTTGCAACGCCGCCAATTGACCCAACATCACTAGGTAGTTCGACCTCATCTCACACGTCAAGTTTGGCCCTGGCAACTGGGCCATTTCATCTGCCCGTCCCTGCCTCCGAGTCCCTTAACTTTGCCAGGGACTCGCCAGGATCGAACTCCCTGAGGGCATCGTCCTCCGCCTCCACAGCGAAGGAGTGGCTCACCACCTGCCAAAAAAAAGACAACGACGTGCCGTGGGAGCTGATGACATCGGGGCCAGGGTCAGATTCGTGGTCCCGAAAAGCCATGGCATTTCGTTTCAGACCTGAGCCAGCACGAAGACAAAGGAGGGGTCCGGCACAGAGACCCCCTCCGGCAGCTCCAGCAGCTCCTCCTCGGTGGGAAGCACCGCAGCGGGCGCCTTGGCTTTGGGCGCCATGGCTCTTCTGGCGCGACGCCAGGGACCGTCTTGGCCCCGCGCACAAGAAGAAGAGACTTAAATCGCCCACGCGGTTAACGCGCGAGGGACGGAATCACGGCATGGTTTCTGCCGCTCTCTTCACTACCCAAGCTGAGCCAGGAAACCAAAGAAACGGCAGGTCTGCCTGACAAATATTCACTGGTGAAGTTTGCCTGACCGTCCCCAGAAATCCCAACTTGGTACCCCCCCTCCCACTATCATAGCACCTGTGGGTACTTGGAATTTCATTTTCCTTTTGCAGAGACCCCCTGTCAGGTGCCATGTTGGTGGGAGTCAGGGTATGTCCTCTGAACGTGGCCCGTATGAGCCCACACCTCTTGCTGGCTCTTGCTGATGCATGCAGGCAAAGGAAGCATCGCACCCAGTTCTCTTCCACGGAGCTGACTCGGTTTTCATGCAGCTAAAGACCCAGCCAATCCAGAATCTCTTGGCAAACTCCATCTGTGTGGGTGTGTGTGTGTGTGTGTGTGTGCAGGCGCAGGTCTGTACACGCATTGCTGAACAAGGAAGCGTGACTGGGAGTTGAGCATTGTCTGCGGCGAGGCTCGCCAGAAGGATGTGCAGAGAGATTCACCTGCCAGTGTTGTGAAATGAGACATCTCAGCTCAAGGTTTACGACAGCCATCGTGTCTCAAAAAGAAGCTTGGTTACTTCAACGCAAAGACCTGAAATGCCGTGAATCATCGCACCTCGTTCAAGGACCGCAGTACCCACTCGCGCAGGTCGCGAGATACCTTGCCGAAAAGAATTTTGCACCCCGCTTGCTTTTGGGGGTTGATCAATATTCCTGGCCCCAAAATGACCATGGGCAACTTTCCCCATGTGGCGAACATCATCTTTTTTGGTGGCTTTCCCAATTGTCACCCCATGTATCACGGACCTTTTGAACAAACCCCATGTCCTTTTTCGCCACAATCAGAACGGCAAGGATGCCAGGGCTCCACTTCTGACTAGCCCAAGATAGACAGAAACCAGGGGTTCCAACCTTTGGGCACATGAACCACCCCTGGGTTTGCATCCCCTGCAAGGATGCCTCGCCTCGTCAGAGCGGCTGGCGGAAGACTCCGCCTCCTGTAATCTTGCCTGAAAATCGATCCGCATCACGTCGTTGTGGAGGCACCAACCGCCCCAACAACTAAAACGCAAATCGGTATGGGTCGAAATTCCAGCGAAACGCCCTTCAGGCCTTGCGTCCTTGCTTCTCACTTGGGTAACCCATGTTGGGGTCCCCCGTTTTTGACCCACCCAAGTCACCAACAAAGAACACTCCACTCGGTGCAACTCGCCGCAAAACGCGGCGAAAAAGCGCCTTGAGAAAGGCGGCGGCTTCCTCCTCGCGGCTCAGCGACGCCTTGCACCGGAGCAGCTCCTGGCTTTGGTTTCATCGGGCGCAGCGTGGGGGTTCTCGGAAGCCCACCCTCTGCCAGGTGTGCGGAAAGCAGGTAGCACACCCTCTTAGACTTGCAAACAAAGAGCTACAGCTAGGAATATGTCCAACAACTCACATTTAGTCTGCCGCATGTTGGGGGGGCATCTCCATCCCTTGCAATCAAAGTCGCCTACTCAAGGCATTATTTTTCAAAGAAATCGCCGCTCTGCCCTCACGCATCGAGCCAGCTTTCTGCTGGAAGATATTTTCTGCTTGTCATGGCCAGAGAGCGCCCTCTGCCATGAGCCCATTCAAATCTCACACGGGCGTCGCTAAGGCGGCCTGCCGGCAAGCAGGGCACCAGGACACATTTGGAGCCTGGCCGTCGCCTTCACCACGGAAGGCACCTCCTTCGGGACCGAATCCTGGCACTGGGCCAAAAGCCAAATCGTACCCCCAGTGAACATCCCAATGGGTCAAAACCCGGTTATCCCCCAGTAAACATCCCAATCCCCACTAAAATGAACCAAAATGGGTGAGTCGCACGAAAACGGATCGACATCGATGCATGGCACCGGCCTCCACGGCTTCTGACAAACGGCCCAACTGCGCCAGTGCCTGGAAACAGATCTTCCGCGATCGCAGCGCGGCGTAAAAATGGCCATGGGTCAAAAGCCAAATCGAACCCCTAGTGAACATCACTCAATCCAACCACTAAAATAGGTTCTAAAATGGGTGGTGAATTCACCTACCCCAACCAAAATGGGATCCCAAAACGGTATTGACAACCACAACCAGACATCAGTTCGTCCCCGAGCACGTGCTGACTGCCCATGCGGATCGGCTGCGCCTTCTTGGCTGCAGCCTTCACTTCTGGCGGGTGAATCAAGTAGTCCTTCCACGCACGAATTGCATGCAGGATTGCCATAAAGATCTGCAGTGCGCCAGCCTGCACCACCCTCTCCAGATCCTGCAGATGCATGCACAGGGAAACTAGTGAAATGATAGAGGCATGCACAGAGCGGACAATGAAATTCACAAAGGCATGCACAGGGCAGAAGTGCACAAATGATCCACAACTCCCCAACTCCCTAGATTTTGAGAAAGCTCTGAGTGGTGACAAGTGTCTCCTCCGCAAAAGCCAGGCCGTAAGGGCCCATCTGCCCCAGAGCCACGATTGCCTGCATAGCGCATCGATGCACTCAAAGCATAAGTGCCTTGGCACGGGTCTTTTCTGGCAAATCGGCCTTTGGAACCAGCATAAGATGGTGAGACATGGACGTGGGTGTGTGCTTCTTTGTTGAGGGTACCCCTTTTTGGTTGGCAACCAAAAGCAAAACCACCATTTTGGCCTCCCCCCCCCAAAACAAGAAAACAGACCCACACTCAGATGCCCAGTGGCCAGGGGAAAAAAGGGCATCCTTTCTTTGGCGGGTTGACTTTCAAGGGAACCCTTCCAAAAAAAAAAAGCACCACTGGGCAACTGGGAACATGGCGCTTGGCCAAAAAACAGACTTCCTGCAACCAACTTGGCCAGGCCAAGTAGATGTTGCGCGTTGGCTCTTTGGTCCGTCGCTTGCCCGCGCCTCTGATCTTGTGTCTGGATCAACGTCATTCAGCAGCAAGGCGATGCCGCTGGCGTATGGCCTGAAGCCATCAAACGCAATGCCAGCAGCCCACAGGAAATTGGGAAATGGAGGTTGATCAAAAGGTCAGGGAAACATGGGATGGCCGTTGGGTAAAACCACTAAAAAGATGATATTTAAGCCACCAAATGGGAAAAGTTACCCATGGTCATGAGGGGCCAGGAATATTGATCAACCCACAAATGCAGTGAAAGAGAGAAACCAAATGCGAGTACATCACTTCCGCAGCACGCCTGCCACTCTCCCCCATGGCAGCAAGTGCTTTGGCCTCAGGTGATTCTTCCAGAATGCACTCCCCATCCAGGGGGAAGACTTGATGCAAGCTGATCGTTCGTAAGTGGCAAGCTGGCCGGCACAGTATATACTTGTTGGCATGTTTTGCGTTGGGGCTGGCTGCATTATTCTTCATGTGACAAGGTGCCAATTCTGTCAAAGAGTGCGTCTGCAAATGTAGTTTATAAACATTGGCTTAGAATAGAGTTTTACCAATCGGGGCTTGTTGCGAAAGTTGCAGACACATTCAGCTATGAGAATTAATCTTCGGCGCACTTGTGCTGGCTTGTTTTTTAGCTCTGTGGCGGGCCAAGTATTGCTTGGAGGATGTCACTAGTGGTGGTGCTAGAATCTGCCTGGAACAGTCGAGTCAAAAATGTTGCTGCGAGATCTACTTGCTGTGTTTCTTGCGAGCCTTGCGATAAGCGAGACAGATAGACAGACAGGACAGGACAGGACGGGACAGGACGGGACAGGACAGGACAGGACTGGACAACACAAGACGGAGGGGAGGGGAGTCGCTCGGGGAAGGCAGGCGGCTGGGCCTATGGGCGGAAGCGGCGTATGATGCTTGCGCTACCCGAAACCGACTGGGGTCCGTGCCACTTCTGGAGTGAATCTGTGAATGTTTGACAGTGCGTCAAATTGTTGAACATACACGTTCAAGCCCAGCTATGGGATGAAAACACCAGACTGCTGAGAAATCTCCTGCACATAGGCTTCTTACAATCCAAGTCTACAGACTCAATCTTTGTGCTGGGATCCATGGAGAAAAACCTGGCTGTGGGTCAAAAACAGGTACCCATGGACTAAAACCTGCGGTCCCCTGGTGGTTTAATTTTGACCCATACCCATATGCAGCCAGGTTCCAGATTTGTGGAGCGCAGCCCTCCGGTACTCTTGTGACCGCGACTGAGGCCGAGCACTGCTGCTCCGCGGACTTTGGCGGAAGGATCGCCGGTCAGGAGGTTCGCAACCTGAGTCAGAATCAAACCCGGTATTAAAACGGTTTATTCAGAATTATGTAAAGAACTAAGAAGGCGGATATCCGCAGCTCTTTATGGCTGGGATTTTCCCTTCCTAACCTTCATCTACCCGGGCTTTGATTGTGGCTCACCTTAACCCCCAGACCCCGAGCGGCTCAGCCCTTGGAACCCACAGCGGACATGAAGCCCAAAAAAAGTGGACAAGCAAAACGAACGAGCGCACGAACAACATCCCAGAAACAGCCCCACAAGGGGCCCAAGTTTGATTCAAGCTGGGCACCTTGGCCCCTGCTCAAACAGGTCAAACAGGACTCAAGGTCAGTTGCCGCAGACTCAGGAACCACCATTGTTTCCCGCCTGCCACTGATTTGAGCCCCTGTGCTCCTGAAATGTCATGAATGACAGGAAGTGATTGCCTCCTTTCCGGGCCAAGAAACTGCTTCGCACCAACTCTGGTTTGGTTGATGATCATTGCAGGCGAGTGTTGCCAAAAATGGATTCTTCGCTGACGGCCATTTTGACATGATTTCATCCTTCTAAAACCTCTTTCCACGCTATGCGGTTTGCATGCCTCAGGTCACTTCGCCGTTCCCCCTCCCCCTGACCCCCTGACCCCCATTTTTCCGCGTTTCCGGCCTCATACGAGTAGGTCGCCGCCGCCTCGCCCAAAGCCCCCAGCGCCGCCACCGCCGCGCCACGCACCGCCTGGGACCGGTCGCCCAACATCTCGGAGAGGCGGTCCTGGGAACGCGCGGAACGGTCGGCCGGACGGACGCCCGCTGGGTCCCCGGCATGGAGGGGTAAAAGAGCTTCAGGCTTTGCCCACTTTGCTTTGGAGGTTGGAGGAAGTTGGCGGCGAGATCAACAGAAGCATCAAGTTCAAATCAAGACACCAGTTGAATTGACCTGGAGGAATCTGCAGGTTCCCTGCACACTTGCAAAGGCATCAGTCCCTGCAATGGTCTAAGGCAGGTTCTGCTTGGTTGGTTGCCTGCACCTTGCCCAGCAGGAAGCAGGCTTTCGCACGCACGGCGTAAGTGTCATCATCCAGCAGGCTAGCAATCCTGGCACAGCGTCTCGATTTGCAGTCGTACTCCTTCAAAAGCTGGGGGGAAGCTCTACTGCGTGCCGACAATAAGCCCACTTAAAGGGGCATTGTGCTTTAGGAAGTGGTTCATAACAGTGGTTATAACCCACACAAGCCATAGTTATAAGTCTCCGTTCAGTGGGTTATAACCAGGCTTGCTAACCACGTACTAAGTACCCGATCGCCCCTTCAAGCAGTTTTCAGAACAAGCCCAAAAAGCCGATCAGGACAAACGCGCATTGCCGCCAGACCCTCCCGACCATCTGAGTCTGAGCCGACCTCTCGATGAGATCCGCATCCGAGGTGCTGTAGCCTGCAACCCCAAAAAAATCGGCCGAATGGAGCGCAAGAGTCCAGGATGGCTGCCAAAAACACTTGGATTGACATTCCAATGCCTCTTCAAAAAGGCTGGATGTGAAGGTGTGTCAAAAGTCGGGGCCCTTGACTCCGTCTGCATCCGCCTGCCAGGGCTTCCAGGGTGCAGGAGCGGACTTCCCAGTCGCCGTCGTCCAGCAACTCTTGCACCGCGGCGGCGTGCTCCTCGGGCGACTCCGCAGGTCGAGGAGCAAAAAAAACAAGAGCGGTTGCACCAAGCAAAGCGGTTGCAACCAAGCAAAGCGGTTGCAACCAAGCAAAGCAGCAACGATCCAACAAGAAAAAGGGGCCAGCAAGTGCAGGAGGCCACAAAATGGTGCCGAACAAAAACATGACTGCCTGAGTATGTCTGTGCCAGTTCATATAAAACCCGCCAAATGACAAGGGTGCATGTGAATGATGGTGCGTGACCACACAACAAGCAAGCAAAACGATGGGTGCACTCCAAGGAGCAGGATTCGTTGATGGCTCAGGCTATCAGGAGGAAAACACAAAGGTGGAACAACAAACAAAGGCTCAGGCCCATCTGATTTTCGCACACAACTCCCAGGTGAAGTTTCTCTTCGGCGCTCCAAGCTTGTGATGGACATTGGTTCAACAGGGTGCAGGAGTTCCAACCTGACAGCGGTGATT